ATAGACAACCATGACTATGAGCTTGAGTTTTTCCTGTGAGGATGTTATTCACGTGAGCTAGTTTTCTAATCCAGTGACAACCCATCCTTTACTTTCAGTTCTCTAAATGCAGGAAAGTTACCTTTGAGCATTTTGCTAAAATACCATGAGGGTATCCTTTTTTCACCACAAAAACCAAAAGCAAAACTGTCTATATATCAGTAACTTCAGTTCAGTTTAATAATTAATCTTCATCAAATGAGTAACATTGGAAGATGAAAGGCCCTTATTCAACAAAGCTGGAAACATTTCAACAATGAAAACAACATATTCCCTCCCTCTAGAGCGAGAAAGCTACTTCCAAAGTTCCATCCATCAATGCTGTAGTGATGAGAATTCAAATTCTCAACTTTCACTTTCTAAACCTACTAAATCTTTCCTCTAGCCGTGCAAACACTTTTAATGAAACTTTCTTCTGTCTCATCATAAAATCCAGTCTTTTCAACCTCTTATCAAATGCAAATCTTACTTCAAATTAAAAGACAGAATTCTGTGGTAGCCCTGCTGGTGCACACGCGCTATATAATACCCTTGAATTTGAACCAGTAAAGACGATAGGCTATGCTGACTTTGAATAAATGAAAAGGGACAATTTCCAGGGTTATGTCTGACTCATCAGGTGAGTCCTTTTTAAAAAGGTGAAGTGATATGCATTACTACTGGCCTCAAAGATGAAGCAAACTGCCATTCTTGAGAGTAAGAGGCCACTGGGCAAGGACCAGAGTTCAGCCTGTAAGCATTGGAATGATCCCCAGCTAATAACAAACAAGAAAATGGGACCATTGTTGTTCAGTTTCAAAGAAATAAAAATCTGCCAACAACCAATAACCTCAAGGAGGAAGCCAAGCCACAGATGAGCTCATGGTCCCGATTGACAACTTGATTCCAAATCTGATGAGATCCTGAGCAGAGAACCCAGCTAAGCAAATCCAGAACACCAGCATGAGGAAACTGAGATAATACTGTGCTATTTTAGCTGCCAAGTTTGTGGCAATACGCAACAAAGAAATAAATAATCCTCCTCTTTTAGGTTTTTCAAACCACTTCAAAAATACCTTAGCCAGAGAGGACAGTTTTAGCATGAATATTTTTCATGAAAGGGAGGAAAGAACTAGAAGCCAGTTAAGAGCACCAATAGCATTTATAACATGATTACAACTTAGCTTGATTTATTACTATTGAGACACGGATAAATTAAAATTCCCTACTGCTCTTACACCACACCACTCAGCTGTCAGTTTGTTGTACTGTGGTGGCTTGTGAGTTGCTGTGATTCTGGAAGCTATGCCACAGGTATTTTAAGTATCAGCAGAAAACCCTCTACAGGGTCAGTATGGGTTGGAACCGACTCGATGGCACTTAACAACAACCCACGGTAGACAGATTTCAAATGAGCTTCCAGACAAAGAGTAGGAAGAAGGTGAGACTAACTACTTCCAAATATTTAGTCACTGAAAACCTTATGAATAGCAGAGAAACACTGTCAGATATAGTGCCAGAAATGAGCCCATCATGCTGGAAAGCACTCAAAATTTGACTGAGGAAGAGCCACCTCCTCAAAGTAGAGTTGACCATGATGATGTGAATGGAATAAAGCCCATGGGAGCAAAGCCCTCTGGACCTTTATTTGCTGATGGGGCACAACTCAACATGGAGAGAAATAGCTGCAAACATCCACTAATAATTGTAACATGAAACATTGTTGTTGTTGTTAGGTGCCATCGAGTCGGAATCGACTCATAGTGACCCCATGCACAGCAGAATGAAACAATATCTGATCCTGGGCCAACCTCACTACCGCTGCCACACTTGATGCCATCAATGATGCCACCTGGCCAATCCATCTCATTGGGGATCTTCCTCTTTTTCTCTGACCTTCCATCTTACCCAGCATGACATCCTTCTCCAGTGACTGTTCCCTCCTGACATGAAACATACCAAGTATTAATTCTAGGAAAATTGGAAACAGTCAAAAATGAAATGGAACACATAAAAATTGATATCTTAGACATTAGTGAGCTGAAATGGACTGGTATTGGCCATTTTGAATCTGGCAACCGCATAGTTTACAATTCTGGGAATGACAAATTGAAGAGGAATGGTGTTTCATTCACTGTCAAAAAGAACATATCAAGATCAGTCATGAGGTGCAGTGCTGTCTGTGATAGGGTAATATCCATGCACCTATAGGGAAGACCAGTAAATACAACTATTATTCAAATGTATGCACAAACCACTAAAGCCAGAGAGGATGAAATGGAAGATTTCTACCAACTTCTTCATTCTGAAATTGATCAAACATGCAATCAAACATTACTGGTGACTGGAATGCAAAGAGAAAGCATCAATAGTTGGAAATTTTGGCCTTGGTGACAGAAATGATGCTGGAGACTGCATGGTAAGAGTTCTGCAAAACCAATGACTATACACATAGACCACACGAGATGGAGCACATACACAGACATCAAATTGACTATGCTGTGTAAAGAGACAGTAGAAAAGCTCCATATCATCAGCCAAAACAAGGCCAGGGCCAGACTGTGAAACAGACCATCAATTGCTCATATGCAAATTTAAACTGAAACTGAAGAAAATGAAAACAAGTCCACAAGAGCCAAAATATGACCTTGAATATATCCCACCTGAATTTAGAGATCACCTGAAGAACAGATTTGATACATTAAACACTGAACACCGAAGACCAGAAGAGTTGTGGGATGACATCAAGAACATCATATGTGAATAAAGCAAAAAGTCATTGAGAGGAGAAGAAAGAAGGAAAGGGTCAAAATGGATGTCAGAAGAGACAATGAAACTGGCTCTCCAGCATAGAGAAGCTAAAGCAAATAGAAGAAATGAGGAGGTACAAGAGCTGAACACAAAATTTCAAAGGTCAGCTTGAAAAGTCAAAGTCAAATATTACAGCGAAATGTGCAAAGATCTGGAATCAGAAAACCAAACAGGAAGAAAACACTCAGTATTTCTCAAGCTGAGGACACTGAAGAAAAAATTCAAGACTTGACTTTTCATTATTAAAGGATTCTGTGGCCAAACATTACTGAAAAAAAGATGAAGAAAGCATCATAAGAAGATGGAAAGAATACACAGTCACTGTACCCAAAGGAAATGGTTGATGTTCAATTGTTTCAAGAGGTAGCATGTAATCAAGAGCCAATGATACTGAAGGAGCAAGTACAAGGTGCAGGGAAGGAATTGGCAAAGACCAAGGCACCAGGAGTTGATGGAATAAAAATTGAAATCTTTCAAGAAAGTGAGGCGGCACAGGAGGCAACAATTCATCTCTGCCAAGAAATTTGGAAGACAACTATCTAGCCAACTGATTGGAAGAGATCCATATCTGTGCCCATTCCAAAGAGAGGTGACCCAACAGAAAGTGAAAATCATCAGACAATCTCTTTGATAGCCCATGGGAGTAAAGTTTTACTAAACGTAATACAGAAACGGCTGTAAGGATACATTGACAGACAAATTCCAGAGGCTCAAGCTGGATTCAGAAGAGGACGTGGACTGAGGAATACCATTGCTGATGTCCGGTGAGATCTTGGCTGAAAGCAGAGAACACCAGAAAGATGTTTACCAGCGCTTTACTGACTATGCAAAGGATTTCAATTGTGTGGATTATGATACGCTACGGACAACACTGCCAGGTATGAGGATTCTGGAACACTTAATTGTGCTCATGAGGAATCTGTATATGGACCGAGAAACACTTGTTCGAACAGAACGTGGGAACACTGAAAGGTTTAAAATTAAGAAAGGTGTGTGACAGCGTTGTATTCTTTCACCATACTTGTTCATCCCATATGTTGTGCAAATAATCTGAGAAGCTGGGTTATAGGAAGGAAAACATGGCATCAGGATTGGAGGAAGACTCATTAGCAACCTGCGATATGCAGATGATACAACCTTACTTGCTGAAAGTGAAGAGGACTTAAAATACTTACTGATGAAGATCAAAGACCACAGCCTTCACTATGGATTACATCTCAATATAAAGAGAACAAAAATCCTCACCACTGGACCAATAAACAACATTCTTATGAATGCAGAAAAGATTGAAGTCGTTAAGAACTTCATTCTTCTTGGATGAACCATCAACACTCATGGAAGCAGCAGTCAAGAAATCAAACAACATATTGCATAAGCAAATCTGCTGCGTAAGGCCTTTTTAAGGGTTGAAGAGGAGCAAAGATGTCAGCTTGAGAACTAAAAGGTGCGCCTGACCCAAGCCACGGTATTTTCAATAACCTCATATACATGCGAAAACTGGATACTGAATAAGGAAGACCATAGAAGAATTGAGGAATTTGAGTTATGGTGTTGGAGAAGAATATTTAAAGTACCATGGGCTGCCAAAAGAACAAGCAGATCTCTGTTGGAAGAAGTGCAGCCATAGTACTCCTTGGAGGCCAGGATGGGCAGACTTCGTCTCTCATACATTGGACATATTGTCAGGAGGAATCAGTCACTGGAGAAGGATATCATGTTTGGTAGGGTGGAGAATCAGAGAAAAAGAGGAAGACCCCCAGCGAGATGGGTTGGCAAAGTGGCAGCATCAATGAGCTCAAGCATGGCAACAATTGTGAAGTTGGCCCAGGACAGGGCAGTGTTTCGTTTTGTTGTGCATAGGGTCAATATGAGTTGGTACCGACTTGATGGCATGTAACAACAACAACAATAATGCTCTTACAAAAAGTCTGGGTGTTGTAGTGGTTAAAGCACTCAGCAGCTAACTGAAAGGTCAGTGTGGTTCAGCCCACCAGTCCATCACTGAGAGAAGACAGAAGTCTGCTTCCATGAAGATTACAGCTTTGGGAGCCCTATCGGGTAGTTCTACTCCATGCTATAAAGTTGCTATAAGTCTGAATGGACCCAATGGCAGTGGGTTTGGTAATCCTCTTACAATTGTGTCATCAATGCTAACGTGAATGCTACAGTACCTCTATCCTCCAGTGGATTGCCAGCAAGGTTAATCGTGTGGAGTCCTGAGTTGGGATTATGCGCTAGAGCGCTAGCCAGCTTTTGTGCAAAATCTCTGCCAAGAAAATAAAACAGCAAGATTGAGTAACAGAAAATGTAGAACTGCTGAAATAAAAGGGTGAGATAGAGAAAGTTTCTTTGCAATGTTCATCTATACATCATTTGTTAGCATCCAATCTGTACTACACAAGTATAGTTCCTCACAAGACCATCTGGGAAGCCAAATGGGCCCAATTTCTATTCAAAAGGGTGAGAAAACACAGAATGAGAGCCCTTTTTAAGAAATGGCCTAACCATTTTTCCAAAGTGGCTGGATGCTGTTAAATAATGGTACTTGGACACTCCAAAGTTAAAGAAAAGAAGAAAACCAAGTCCTGAATTGAACCTACTTTTCATGAAAATTAGACTAGGCTGTTCACTGTATCTTAGCTCTCTTATTTCCTGAAAAAAATCATGAATGCAAAGCCGATTACTCTAATTACTGAGTTTAAAGACTATAATTGCAAGCACTGTATTTTAACAAAAATTAAAATGACTATTTTAGCTATGCTTAACTTTAAAAAACACACTGCTATTCATCAGCTGCTCCTCGGAAACCCTATACAGGATTGCTATGAGTTAGAACCAACTCGATGGCACTTAACAACAACAACAAATAATTAGAAAACTATCAAACCTTCTCACTTATTAACAGTAAAGGCCTTGGTTCGAACTGGTTCAAATCCCTAGCAAAATCATGATAGATGTTACTACTACAACTATCGCTGGAGTTCTGGTGTGGCGCAGCAAGATAAGCATTGTACTGCTAACCAAAAGGTCAGCAGTCCAAATCCACCAGCTGCTCCTTGGGAACTCTATTCAGGGTCAATATGTGTCAGAATCAATTTGATGGCACTTAATAACAACCATCATTAAGGAGGATAATAAGAATAATAGCTAACACAAAGCACCTACTCTGGGGAAACATTTTTCTAAGCATTTTATATATTTGGATGCATTTGTACTGGCAATCATAATTCCGTAAGATATGCACTATGATTATTTCCATGTTAAAGACCAAAAGACTAAGTAAGACACAGAGGGCTTAAAAATGTGCCCAACATCCTGAGTCCTCTAGCTCCAGCATCCACTCCTAACTACGCCATGTTGTTGTTGGTATTGCTGCTTCTAAGTGCCTTTGAGTTGGTTCCGACTCATAGTGACACTGTGTAGGGTTTCCTAGGAGAGGCTGGTAGGTTTGAACCACAGATCTTGAGGTTCAAAGAAAGTTGCAGTCCAGTGCTCATCCTAGAGCGCCACACCAGGACTCCAAAGATATGTTTCCACTCAGTTTATAAACAGGTGTCTTTCATGTAAGACAAACATGATTACAACAACAACAACAATGCAGTGACCATCAAGTCGGTTCTGACTCAGAGACCCTGTACACCATGCACCCTCAAAAAGACCAAATGACACAACTGCAAAAGTTGTCATCAAATTTGTGACTTCCTAATAATAAAGGTCTCAAAAGGAATCTTTCTGATCAGAAGGGAAAAACACTACAGTCTATGTGGAGTAGCCTAACTGTATTTTTTTAACTATGTATGAATTGAAGAGCAAATATCCAAAGCTTTTAAAGCTATGTATCTGTATCTCTCTCGCGCACTATGTATATTCAAAAAATATATACTCACGTTCTAAGCCCAGCATTTTCCAACACCAATTCCTCCAGTCGACTGGATCTACTCACCACCCTCAAAATCTGTTCACAGACATCAGTGGACTGTAAGAGAAAACATTTTGTGACCATTCCATAAGGCTAAAGAAAATAATAAACTCACTTCATTGTCATAAATCTATGTAGCTGCCAAGCTCCAATCAAAGAAAACAGTCACTCAGGCATTCATGCATTCAACAGACCTTGACTGAGTATGTACCTTCAATATAAAAAGTCTTGAGAATACACTGACATAAAGGACAAAGTCTCTGACCCCAAGAACAGGGCAAAGCAGTTAAGAATTGTGATAAAAATTTAAAAGGGGCACTTTGCTGTTAAAGAGCAAAGATATCACTCTGAAGACTAGGGTGTGCCTGACCCAAGCCATAGCATTTTCAATTACCTTATATGTATGCGAAAGCTGGATAATGAACTAGAGGAAGACAGGAGAAGAACTGATGTGTTTGAATTATGATGTTTGACAAAGAATACTGACTATACCATGGACTGTTAAAACAAGAAATAAATCTGTTTTTGAAGATGTACAGCCAGATCGTGCTTGTAATCAAGGATGATGAGACTTGGTCTCTTGTATGTTGATGGCAGGAAGGACCAGTCCCTGAAGAAGGACATCATGCTTGGTAAAGTGGAGGAAGACTCTTAAAAGAGATGGACTGACAAAGTGACAACAACATGCTCAACTATAACAAAAATTGAGAGGATGGCATAGGATTCGGCAGTGTTTTGCTCTGTTGTACGTAATGTGATTATGAGTCTGAACTTATTCAATGGCAGCTAACCACAATAGCCACACATTGTGTATCTCACTTGATTTTAACACATCTGGAGGAATCAATGACTGGAAGAGAATTATCATGAAGCAGAGGGGCCAGCGAGGACATGGGACATCTGCAGTGAAGTGAACTGGCACAACAACCAGAAAGATGGACTTAAACATGGTGGCCATTGTAAGGATGATGTAGGACTGGGAACCTTGTCATTCTGTAGTACAAGAGGTCACTGTGAGTTGGAGTCTAGTGGATAGCAGTTAACAACAATGCACACAGAGAGAGGCAGCCAGCCTATCAGTATAGGAAAACCCCTAATGGACTTCCCATAGGAAATGATGTCTAAAACAGTGAAGACTAAGACGTAGTGATGATGCTAAGGATACTGATTATGAAGTCATCTTTACTAAACTCTTGCTATGTGGCAGACACTGAGCTAAGTCCTTTAAGCATATTCCCTTTTTAACCTTCCCCAATGTAAAACACTAAACTAAAACAAAATCTATTGTCACTGAGTCAATTCTGACTCCTAGAAACCATATGTGAAGTTTCTGCGGCTGTAAATCATTACTGTAGCAGAAAGCCTTGGCTTTTCTCCTGCAAAATGACTGGTGGGTTCAAAGTGCTGAACTTGTGGTTTGTTGCTGTTGTTAAGTGCCGTGGAGTCGGTTCCGACTCATAGCAACCCTGCACAGGCTTTCTGAGGCTGTAAATCTTTATGGGAGCAGAATGCCTCATCTTTCTCCCACGGAACGGCTAGTAGTTTCGAACTGCTGACCTTGCGGTTCACAGCCCCATTCGTAATCACTACGCTACCAGGTTAGCAACCCATTATGTAAGCCACTGTGTCACCAGGGTTCCTTATATAAAACATTAGTTTAAGTATTATAGTCCCTTTTACAGCTGAGAAAATGAAATTTGAAAGACATCATGCAATTTAATTAAGAGGCTGAGTAAGCACTTGTTAAATGGAGTCGAGTCACTTCTGATTTATAGAGACCTTGTATAGGGTGGTTTCTGAGGAGCTCCTGGTTTGTTTGAACCACCGACCTTGCTGTTAGCAGTCCAGTGCTTATCTTACAGCACTACACCAGAACTCTGAATAAGCATTTTGACAAATGTGAACTACTCTTTTGATATTCCCACTAGCTTTTTTTGAAAATAAATCAAATAAGCAGCAATCAAATAGCCTAGTGACAGAAAGAGTTAAATAAATGATGGTTTCTTGCACTGGTAAATACTCAAGAAAAATTATGTAGCTATATTAACTCTGGAGAAATTTTATATGCTTGGGATATAATGTTAAATTAAAACAAAACAAAATAAAAATGCTTATTAACACTGTAACAATTGACAAATACAAGAGGCTTTCAGAATATTTGTGATAAAATTCCAGTATCTTGTTGTTGTTAAGTTCCGTCGAGTCAATTCTGACACATAGCGACCCTGTGTAGGGTTTCCAAGGAGCAGCTGGTGAGTTTGAACCGCCGACCTTGCAGTTCAAACGACTTTGCAGTTTGATGCATTAGCCCATAGCACCACACCAGAACTCTTCCAGTATCTTATGATTACATTTTTCCATGAACTTTCTGAATCTCACTCATCCAAGTAAACTAAAGTCTTGAGGGGATGATGAAAAATGAAAAGTTATTATGTACACTTTCTTTTCCTCGAACATTATTATTTCTTAGTGGCTTCATAATTGTTTATATTTTGCTTTATTCAAAAACTAATTTAAGGTTAGTCCTGACATCCTAGTCAAGCCAGCTTAGCACTATGCTGACTGATTTAGGAAGATACAGAAGCTGAACACATGGCTCTTAATGAGCTTAAACTCAGCAGTGCACAAAAACAATTAAAGGATGATCATTTTAAGAACTAAGTGAACTAGTCAAGATAAAAGAAACATAACATTTTAGAATTAAATGGTACCATATACACCTTGTCTAACCATCTGATTCATACCAGCACTTTGGAGGGTTGAGAAAAGGCATACCACTGCTTACTAAGATGTCTAAGCTACAAAACTGAAGCGAGTTGTACAAGATCCTAATTCTGCTACTTTAACCAATCAAGAATGTTGGGCAGAAACTTGATCCTAATCACATACCTGACATTATCTTAAAGGAAAAACGTAACAGCTAGTATTTAAATTAGTAAGAGTGACCACTGGAGGAAAAACATTAGCTTCCTAAGCTTAGCAAAAAGCATGTAATTCCTGTTTTTCTTGTGATACCGGAACACAGGAGATTTTCATTAGGTTAAGAGCAATCTTAACAACCCAGAGGGCTCATATATATGTGGGAGGAATCCATATTTTAGTCAAATACTTCTTGTTTTAAGAAACACCCAAGGAGGCGTACTTTTGGCATTATCTTTCAGTTCAGATAGAATCAATGCTTGAAAATGTTCCGAGCTAGTCCTATTACGGCGTCTAGCAAAGGAGAAAGTATCATCTTTTCATTTTGACTGAAAAAACACAAAGTCTACAATTCTTTGTGTAACATGTCAAAGACCTTTTTATGTTTTCCTATTTTAAAATACCAAATATTAAAAATATGCACATATGTATTTTTATTTGAAAATCTTACACAATAAAAGAGCAGTGTCCTAGAGTAGTGCTGTGGGTTAATGCGCCAGACTGCAAAGCTGTTTGAACTTCAAGGTTGGCGGTTCAAGCTCACCAGCTGCTTCTCAGAAACCCTATACAGGGTCACTATGGGTCAGAATCAACTCGATGGTACTTAACAACAACAACAAGTGCAGTCCTCGAATCCTATCACTCCCCATCCTTCTCGTCTAGACTCAAGAAAGCATATGTGTACATTCATGGCCTGTGCTGCCAAGGGAATAGGTTCATCGTATTTTCTTCCCTAACCGTCTCAGGCAGCTGGAAGGAGATAATGACACGATAGCACGGGCACATTTTCTTGGGTCCTATTTTGAAAATCACCAATTTAAGTAAATGATTACATTAACAGGAAAATTGACTTAAGTGTCATGGATAAACTGTGTTCTCTCCAAATGTGTCAACTTGGCTGAGTCATGCCTCTCAGTGGTTTGGCAGTTATGTGGCAGTTATTTGATGATCACTGTGATGTGGTCTGATCTGATCAACCAGTAAGAGGCTGAAGGGTAGGATACAACACCTTTATCCTGTCAGAGTTCTGATCCAACGTAAGGGGCGTTTCCCTGGAATATGGCCTGCAACATGTTTTATCTTTCAAAACACAAAAGAGGGACATATGCAGGAGAAAGATGAGGCCTTCTGTTCCCGTAAAAATTTGTATTATAGACTTGGAAACCCTGTACAGGGTTGCTATGAGTCAGAACTGACTCCACAGCACATAACCACCGTCACCAGCACCAGCACCAAAAAAAGAAGAACTGGGAGAACAGTTCATGTTTTAGAGCTGGCTTCCTGCACTGTGAGGCTCCTAGATCCAATAAAAGGCTGATGCCAAGACCCACGGAGATCACACCAAGGAATTCTGGGCCTACAGATGCTGAAAGGTGGTAAGAACTTTTCCCCAGAGCTGACACTCTGAAATCAGACTTGTAGCCTCCTAAATTGTGACAACATGAATGTCTGTTTGTTAAAGTCATCAATTTGTGGTATTTCAGGTATAGCAGCGCTGGAGAACGAAGACATATTCTCTTCACTATGACATACTGGCTCTTAACAGGCCCCAAAATAAGATGAGTCCATGTACAAACTGTTGCTGCCTTAATCTGCCCACCCTAGGTAAATTCAGAGAACCAGCAGCGTAGCAGCTGATCTCAATCCTTCACGTCCTACAAACCCATGCCTCAATCTAATTCCCGATTTTGCACTGTGACTCTTAAATAACCTCAGACTCTCTGGCCTCTGAAAGCCGGAGCCTTAAATGTCAGAGTCTCTATAAAACAACACCTAAATTAGTTCCTGTTCTAAACTGAAACTCATGGACAAGTATCTGCCCACATGGCTGCTCTAAACTTGCAAAATATCCAACACAGCATCGTATTTCCACTTATAAAGCACACCAAATGTTTAGCGTCATCATCCTTTATGAAAACAAAACAGACTGAAATGAGATTCCTTTTTCTTACACATAACCTGTTTAAAAAAAAAAAAACTTACCTAGAAAATGAATGCTATCACTAAGCAACCAGACCAACTCTGCCAGACAAACTCTACGTGTTAACATTTCCCTAAACTATTAAGAAAACAAACAAACAACTTGTGGAGATGGAATGCAAGAAAGGAACATAAACTCGGCTATTTGCAGAAGTACAAATGTATCTTTAATTGTTTTTGCCAGCTGAATGAATGTGTACTGAAGGCTATACTGAATGTATCTTCCTATTCATCTTCTAAAATTGCCCAAAGCAGTTGAACACACAAGGAGGTAACTTCTCTGAAGCATTTCGTATTACAAACATTTCTCAAAATCATATGCAAATCATTTATACAAGAAATGTCTCCACAAGAAATAAACTGTGTGCAGCTAACCAGTAATGGTAGAAGACCTTTTTTTTTTTTTTTTATTGACAATTATCAAGCTTTTGAAACTTAGCCAAATCAAGTAATACTTGCTGCATCCTGAATTCCTTACCAGTTTTAGATCCTTGGAGGACAGCTTTGTGAACCACTGATTGTACTCCAGAGCAGCAATGATAGGTATTAGGTCCCTAGGAAAAAAAAAGTAACAAATGTCATGAAAAACCAAACAAAAAACCAATGTTTCTCCTGCAAGCGCTATAGCAGCACATTATTTTTAATTCATGATATGCTAATCTCTATTATTTATAAACACAACATCCAGTATGAATGACAATGACTACAGAATAACAATAACATTCAATAGGACAGAACTTCAGGAACCCCATTGGTATAATGGTTACGATCTCAGCTGCTAACCAGAAGGGCAGAGGTTCGAATCCAATAGCCACTCTGCAGAGAAAAGACATGGCCATCTGCTCCTGTAAAGAATGACAAGCCTTGGAAATCCTACAGGGTGGTTACAGGGTCACCAGTGATCAGAATCTACAACTAGAAGGAAAAGCCTCATTGCAATGTAAGCACGTTTCCTAAAAGTTGAAGTCCTCCCGGGACTCTGACTCCTATTTCTGAAGGGAAAGAGGAGGACAGTGATGTGTGCTTGGGCAATCTTCATTCTCGAAGAGATGTCATACTAAATTACATATTAGACCAGTTGTCGTCTAGTTGATTCCAACATGGCAACATTTTACGTGTTGCAGAGCACAGTTGCAGGGTTGCTATGGGTCAGAATCAACGTCACTTAACAACAATCTGACAGAAGGGTCCCTGACTGGCACAAACCGGAGTCCTGGTGTGGCACTGTGGATTAATGCACTGAACTGCAAAGTCAATTTCAACCACAAGGTCGGCAGTTCAAGCTCACCAGATGTTTCTCGGAAACCCTATACAGGGTCACTGTGGGTTGGAACGGATTCGAAGGCACTTAACAATCTAAAGGTTGGTGTTAAGAGCCTCCCAGTGGAACTGCAGGAGACAGACCTGGTGACCTGGTGCTCCAAAGAAATGCTTCAGGCTCTCCACCCCACTTGTTTAAAATGTCCATTGAAAACTCTGCTTTTATGTGTAAATGAG